CGCACACGTCGCGATGCTGTCAGCAGACACTTATGGCATTTGAACAGGATATCGGTTGCAAGCCGAAACCCCACCACGTCCTCTAGCATCGCCGCTCATCGTCCGTGGCCGATTATTCATTGGTTTTAATCATCAATGGGACATATCTACTGAGTTTGTGATTGCCCAAACTCAAACGTTTAGGGCTGCATGCGTGTGCATTAACGATGCTGACTACAACTACTAGTTTCACATCAACGCTATGTCAAGAGACACGTACTCCCGTCATTTGAACAAAAGTCGGCTGGATGATGCACGTCCGTTCAGTAATAACCTAGGAGCAACAGAGCTATGTGATACTGAGTGCAGATAGGGGAACGGACCGCAGCTTTGATATAAACAATTATTTATTTTACTTATTTATTTGAATGAAGTAAGTCGGATTGATCCCGTGATAAAATCACGGTATAAAAGCTGGAGTAGACCGTCTTTATTCGAGAATAGCGCATTTGAAGTTAGATTCCTGTCGCTCAGAAGGGCTATTGAGTGCATACTCTGGTCATCGCCTATTCCGAAACTTCACATACCAAAATTGTCGCCGTATGACGTGGCATCCACCCTCCTCAGGTCAGCGGCGGACCCAGATCAACCACATCCTTATAAGCCACAGACGTCGGGGTTGCATATAAGACTACCAGTCGTACCGGAGCACTCCCCTCGAATCAGATCTCGCATTGGGTTGCAATAAGCTACCCATTTACTTCAGTACCCATTCCAAACGCGGAGACGATTAAACTGCGTTGAGATGCCACAACCAGCTCGCATGACCACCTTCCGAAAAGCGCCAATCGGAAATAAAACTGATTTCAACTGGTAGCATCAACAAGCACTGGACGCTAATCAAGAATGCTCTGTGTTCTGCCGCCCTAGTGAGTTGTGGACTGACACTTTGTGTATTGACACCTTGAACTGCCGTCGAATCTCTGCGCCTCTTTGATGTACGCTGATCCATCCCTGGCGGGTAGCGAGCATAAAAATGAACGACACGTGGCGAAATGTGAACGTAGCGCGAGTACACTTTTTCTTTCGATCACTTACTTTATCTGATCCTTGCGTTTTCTTATCTCCTAGACCAAATGCGCATCTTGGATCTTATTGTAAAAGTTTACTCTTAATAATGAAGTTCATTCCGAGCAAAATGAACAAACTGAAAATAAGCTGTCAACTCTCACTTGCGGATTTTAAACTACTGATGTCGTTGAAATGGTGAAAATCAATGGGGATATTGCCGATAACTGAGAGAGGTAAATAGATGGGAGACTAAGACTACCATTAAAAGAATACTAGAGTTGGGCCTTTTAATTCCGCTTCACACACTGGTAACGTTCAAAGAAGATATGGTACTACAGTGACGAGACTACGAGAAGACGAAGGGAGACTAACGGATTTCACATGCATTCGAGTACTGTGATTTTCCCACCTCATCTGACCTGGGTGGGGGGCTATGGTGTGAGAAAAATTCTGGGAGAAAGACGAGTTCGTTGTGATGACCTGTGATGCTCAGATCCGACGCAACTTATGGGCACCATTCGGCCAATGATTATAACAAAAGCTCGTGAACCATTTACGATGCCGCAAACAGAAATGCTCAATGTGTGAGCAAGAAACTAAGGTGCTTCCATTCCCCGCGTGAAATGGATGGATCAAAATGAAAACCAAGATATCCCGATAAAACTGGTGGTTATTGCGTTCAGGGAGACCAACACTATACGAGAATGAAGGACCAGATTGTATGATAGCATAGCATAGCACGCACGCTCCCAACGCTCCAGACAGGCTGAACCTGATTGGATGATCACAGAACGTGTCAGCCAATGTTTGTCCAGTCGATCAATCGATATGTCAAGTTACAAGTAGCGCCGATGGAACGGCTTATTCTTGCGAAAGGAATGTCACTTGAGCCTAGATGTAATCCGAAAAGTATAGTTTTGCACTCACTTGTCTCACTTTAGGACGAAATATTTCCAAGTGTGGCGTAGACGAATTTGGATTACTCGCGCCGAACAGACCCGTCTCGAATGTGTCCGGAGTGGAACGCAGATCCAAAAACCAAGGTTTTTTGGAAGGAGCACGAACTGTGGACAGGACCATCTCTACCTCGTGCGGGTCTCGAAGTCGGACGAGGAACAGTTCGTCATCCTCAGTGCATAAGAGCACAAACGGGTCGGCAGCACTAGCTAGATGAATACGCCACTCCAATGTAACCTGAATGAATTCAAGCAGTTTGGGGCCATCTAACAGACGGAGTGAAGTTGGCGAAACCTATGGAAAACAGAGGTATGTGTGAATCAACAGTGGCACTCGGAAAGAGAGTTGCAAATATAGAGAAAACGTTGGGTAATGAAAGTTTACCATTATCGTCACATACAAGTGATCTATCGGTACGAGTCAATATTAAACCAGCATGACATCCGATCACCGCTATTCAATTTCTCCACTTTCAGATCCATTAAATGATTGCTTCCTCCATCCGGAAAATTGATTATGCAGTTTTATAATCAACAAAAAATAATACAAAATTCCGATTATCATTCACATAATTATTTTCTTGAGACACATGATGCGTTAAGGGAACAAACAATATCCTCAATTGAACTGAAAACTTCAGGATTTCAGTATCACTGGACTTTGTTTGCATTACCACAAGCGAAGTTCGTGCGTCAATAAATTAGTTCTTATCATGTACTACTCCGATTTATGGCATGAAGAGTACCTCTGATGAAAGCATTTTTGAATTCGGAATGAATACTTATTATGGAAACACGGGGAGAATAATGGACTAATAAGATTTTCCGGAATTCTCGACTAATTATATGCACGGTGGGCGCAGTGGATGAACCGTAATGTGTTTGTGTGCTAAATCACGTGACAATAAATGCACACACCCCAAGTTATTCACAATCCCCACAGCCATCAGTACTTCGAGGTTAGCTAGCTAAATCCATAACCTGTTTCTGACAACTAAAATATGCTTCCAAGACAAACAGTCCATGAAGTAGCCTAAAAATATCCCACCAACCAGTCCCCGGGTAATGTGCATAAATTGACTAAATTGTGATCGGGGTGTGGTATGTTTTATGCACGGAATGAGTCAGTTTCAGTTCGGTTTGTACAACCATTAACCACGCATATTCGTGCGCCGGTTTTGGTTGCTGTCTTTTGGTTGCCCATTGGGATGAAGAATAGGAGAACACAGGAAAGTTGAAAGTGGATTCGAAGAGAAAATGGAGAAGTTTAGTGGTCTAAGGTTGCAAAGAAATTGAGAAGATGCACGAACGCCACTGGTTGCGACACCCAGCCATGTCACTCAGTGTCTCTAACCATCAGTTACGATCATCCCCGGGGTCTGCAGC